CACGCCGCCGCCATCTTGTTTACCTCCCTCCCCCTCCCTGCGCCGCCGGCGCGCACGCCCCGTCGCAGGACACGCCTTCCGGCGCCGCTGACGTGCGCGTCCATTGGCCAGCGGCGCGAGCCCCGCCCCACGGCCCGCCCTGCTGCCGCTGCTCATTGGGCCGTTTGGACGCAGTGGGGGCCCGAGCCGGGATTGGTTCCCCCTTGGCCCCGCCCCTTGTGTGGATAGGGTTTTTGTCATTGGCCTGTGGATGCGCCCGTCTCCGTAGGGGGCGGGACGCGGGCGTGGGGAGGCTCGGCTCGGGCGTTGACCTCCGAGGGCTTTGGGGTTGGAGTTGGGGGACGCGGGCGCCCATGGCTTCCGCGCGTGTCTGTCGCAGGGACCGCCGCCCGCGACGGCCGGGTCTGCGGCTCGGAGTCGAGGTGTAGAGCGCCTTCCCCAAACTTCCCTTCGCAGCGAGGTCAAGGGTCAAAAAGTAACCGAAAGTTCCCCATTCGCGGCCAAAATCCGCTCTTAGGGCTCCGTGGGGCCGTTGGGCCGGGGAGTGCTCGCGGTCACTTTCTTCGCACGAGGGACTTGCGGGCTCAAACGCACAAGGGCGCCCACGTGGTGCCCGCAAGGTGCTTTTGGTGAAAACCAAAGTTGGCAAAGCGTGAGCTGATAAAAATAGCACTTTCTGCTCATTAAACTCCTCGGACCCACAGTGCCCACTCTCAGGGCGACCCCAGGCGTCAGACTAAAACTGAGTGCAGAAGGGTTTCAGTGGCTAGTTATCCTGACTAGCTGGCCAGGCCTTTGGAGGCGCAGCCAGGCGACCTCGAGCGGCCCCGCCCGCTGGAGAGCTGCCCCGTGTGTCCACTGTGTCACCAGGGACGCCTTCTCGTGCTGGACATTTGTTTATGCCAGACACTAACGTGCAAAACAATCTGCAGAGATGTCCCGCGGGCTGGATCCCGGGGGGCGGAGGCCTCCACGCGGGCCGGATCACGGGGTGCGATGGCCAGGACGTACCCTGTCCAGGGAAGAGGCGCCTGTGCCCTGGGAGCCTCCACGCTGGCCCCTTCACAGGCCTGGTCCCTTCTCTGTGTTGACCACAGGCTCGCTAACAGGCATCACTTGGTGTCCCTGCTCCTGGAGCTGCCCTGACGCGGTAGTGGGGCTGGCGAGCCCTGGAGACACAGTGGGAGGTAGGACATAAGGATGGGCAGGGTGGTCCACCCTGTCCGTCCGAGCAGGGCCCTTCCTGGGCTTCTCCAGCTTCCTTGCGTTCCCTGACGCTCCTGGTGCAGACAGCTTCACCTGAGAGCTGCTAGGAAAGGTGTCGAGCGGCTCGGGGTGGTGAGAACAGTGTGTGAAGGACCGTATTCTATAACCAAGCCACGACCTTTTGAATGGCTCCCCAAGCACCTGAAAGTTAGACAATGAATAAGAATCGCTGCCTCTGAGCTGTGATGTTGATGAAGCTGCCAAGAGAATAAACTGATGTGTCTTCAACGAAGAGTGCAAGCAGGGTGCTCCTTGGAGGCAAGGTCGGTGAGACTTTGCCTCATACACGTTGGGCATGTGGTCAGGGAGGGGCCAGTCCTTGGAACAGGGTGTTCTTGACTCTCAGTGCCTGGATTGACACCGTAACTGCCACAGGCGCTGGTGGAGGTCGCGCTGCTGGCGCAGGAGGGGGCAAGGGTCAGCTCTGTTCAGTGACCTGTACTTGCCCTGATGGCACCTAACAAATGAGAAAGGATTCATAGGGGGTCTTGGGGAGGCGTGTCCGCACTGGAGGCGGGTTCAGCCGGGGCCCTGGGGGCCTGTCCGCGGGGAGCGCTGGGGGCGTGTCTGTGGGCCCCTGGGGGCGGGTCTGGGGGCCCTGAGGGCGTGTCTGTCTGTGGGGGCGCTGGAGGCGTGTCTGGGGCCCTGGAGGCGTGTCTGGGGGCCCTGGGGGCGTTTCCGCAGGGAGGGGGGAAGCCCTGGGAGTGTGTGTCTGGGCCCAGGAGACATGTTCCTGGGGAGCCTGGGGCTGTTCGTGGGGGCCCTGGGGGCATGTCCGAGGGAAGCTCTGGAGGCAGTGCCTGTGGGGGCCCTGGGGCGTGTTCTGGGGAGCGGAGCTCTCCATCCTGGGAAGCCCGCTGGGGTCCACTGAGGTTGGGTGGTGCGTGGTTGTGCATCTTCAAGTTGGGACCAACCCATAGCTGACCTACAGCAGGTTTTCACAGGCGTTAAATGAGCAGGAGGAGACTGCCCATCCTTCTCCCATGGCGCATTTTGTGGAGTCGAACCCTGTGCCTTCAGGTTGTCAGTGCAGTGCCTTACCACTGAGCCACCAGAGTGCCCTGTGGCTGGATAGGTGTTGTCCCATTAAGTGAGAGGTTGGTCGTCCCAGTCCAGCTGTTCTGTGGGCGCAAGATGGGCTTCCTGCTGCCACGAGGATTTACAGCCTGGAGAACCCAGCTCAGGTTCACCTTGTCCACGTGGACCACAGGCCCTGCGTTTCACTAACTTGTCACTTACTCTCTGACCCCTGTTGAGTAGGAACCGGCCCATAGCTGACCCTCCAGCGGGTGTTGGAAGGCTGTAAACCGCACGGGACGGATTGCCCATTTTTCTCTCATGGAGCAGTCAGTGTTGGGTGGGCTCGAACCCTAGGAGCACACTGCCTTTGGGCTGCCGGTCCAGCTCTCCCCGCTGCCATGGGGACACTTCTCTGAGCGCAGAACCCACCCAGAATGGTGAGGAAGGACGATCCAGCAAGAGACTTCGCAGAGGATGCAGCCAGGATGAGCCTGGAGCGCCCCGTGCTCCGTGATGGAGTCGCTGTGTGTCAGAACCCACCCGGGGGCACTGGCAGGTCTGTGGGGTTCCTGCCGGGTCTATGCCCCCCTTTCCCAGAAGACCTGTCATGGTGACACACAGACCCCTATACCTATGAGCACACGCCCAGGCTGCCACGTGTCATAGAGTCCTGGGGAGGCCTAGGGTCATCACTGGACCGGCACTGGCTCCCTATGTGCCCGGGCCGATGTCATCATGGGACAGACGGCCAAGCCTGTCCTCCACAGCTTTGCTGGGCAGGTTCCAGCCACTGACCATTGAGTTTGCGGTGGAGAGCATGACCGCTGCACCACCAGTCCCCTCATTCTCATGGCACAAGGAGAGGGGCTTCCTGCAGGGGGAGGGCCGCCCAGGGAGCTGGGGAGCCGACCCAGTAGCCATGGAGGGGGCCTCAATTTCCTGTCACTTCTCTGACCAGCAGGGGTGTGTCCACAGACCCTCAGCATCCCTTGCCCCAAGTGGGCTATAGCGACTCAGTGCTGGTGTCTCTGCCTTCTAAACAGCAGTCCTGGGTTCGAATCCCGGCCATAGGCAGCCATTCCCTGTCTGTCAGCGGAGGCCAGCATGTGGCTGGGATGCTGGATGGCTTGAGCAGTCTCCAGGCTGAGACAGGTGAGGGTGAAAGGCCTGGAGCCTGCTTTCTGAAAACTGGCCAGCAGCAGCCCCATAGGTGAGCGTGCACCAACTTGCACCCACTCGCGGGGACTGGGCAGCAACAACCCCATGAATGCGTGTTCACCAACCTGCGTCCACTTGTGGGAACTGGACAGTGACAGACCTGTAGATGAACCTGCGTCCACTCACAGGGACTGGCCAGCAACAATCCCGTGGATGAACCTGCGTCCACTCAGGGAGACTGGGCAGCGACAGACCCGTG